AAACGTTTATTATTTTGTTTCTCAATCAATAAAATGCTAAAAAAAAATGTAAAAAGATCCATATTACATTTAAACTCCCCCAATAAACTGAACACACAAAAAACCCTGAAGATGCCAGAATGATAGATTTGTTTTTACATGTTCTTGTAAAATGGTTTCTGATTGACAAGTTAAAAAAAGTTTCACTATTATGAAAATAAGGCTCTCTAAAAGCTTAGATTTTGGTTATATAACATATTGACTTTCTTGTGTGCAAATTATTGGGTAGTTTCACCTCTTTGAGGCATAAAATATGTGGATACTTTATTGTAAAGCTGAAAACCCAGTGATGGATTGTTTGAACTCTAAGCTTCTGCCATTTTAACTGGACAAAAAACAAAAAGAAAAATGAATCTGTGGGTGAAACCTGGATACAATCATATCTGTCTGTGCAGATCATTGTCACAGCAGCTCAGGAAAATAGATTTAATCCTAAACTGTTTGCATTTAAGACACAACTAGTGTGTACACTACAAACACAGCCAAACACATTCACCTGGAAACAGAAGTGAAAGCATTTCTTACCCTTAAAGAAAGCTTGCCTTGTCACTGTCTGTTCCCCAACTACATCTATACATGGTTCCACCCACACAAAGGTATGATAATCCTTTGTTGTGGTCCACCCCACCTGGAAAAGGGTAGAAAAGCTTAAGAAGGACATTCTTTGATTTAACATTTATTAAAAAAAAGTTGAGGATTTAATTGATCCAGCCCACCTTAAAGATGCCCACCCAGTCCCTGGGGTTGGGCTGGAAGGCCGCATTGAGGGTGTAGCTGCAGGTGACGTGGGTGGACGGTAGGTATGACTGAGGGATGTCGACGAACACCACCTGGGAGAAGGTGCTCGCCGAGTGGTCTGCTACCTCTGTAGCAGTGTTGCTCTCCATGCTGAGATGCAGTCTGCCAGAAAACATAAAGGTCGATGATGAAACATTTCAGGACGCTGACAGATGAGAACAGGTGCAGCAAGCTCTCGGTGTCAGGACAGAAAGCAGCACCGGTGTTACAGGCCTCCTCCTGATGTTGTTGCTTATTTGCTTTTGCGCACTTACCATTGTTCTATTCTTTGACTGCTTACGGACCAAAAACGATCTGAAAATCAACTTTCCTACAACTGAAATGACTTAAATGCTATTTTTAAGACATCCCCCCTGCCAGCCGATGACCTCAAATGTGTTTTATAAACTTTTGAAGGCCGTAAACTCACGATAGATCATTTAAAAAAAAAAAAAGAAGAAGAAATCGAAAGCAAAACAGCCTAAAAGACCGCACCCTGGACTTAACCGACGTCTTCCACGCATACAAGATAAAAACTACAACAGAAACTCTTCTAATAATCCTAAAATCGCAGTTAGATGTTCGGCTAAACACATGAAACTCACATATTTTCTGTCAGTTGTCAGTACCTCGCTCCGACTTCTGCTGCTCAGGGAACTACCAGCTGAGTGCTGCCTTCACATGCTCGTCGGATATTTGTTTTGCCAGCACGTAAACGTTACAATAGTGACGCAGAAGGGACTTTTTTTGGGCATGTCACGTAATAGCTGAAAACAATCTTTTAAAACCTCATGCCTGGGGGGGAAACCCAGAAAAACTTTTAAAGCTCTTTGCAGATGTCAGATATGAATGCTTATATGTTACATTTGTGTAGTCCTGAGAACCTGAATAGTGCTTTTAAAAAATAATATTTATTTAAAAAATACATTTTAAACATTGTTTTAACCCTTCAGTTTTTCATATTTTGTCATTTGTACCTCCTCCAGGCTTTCTGAAGGTCTTTAAAATTGGATGCTTTTGCCCTGATTTTAGTCCAGTCCTCGTACTTGATCATTCCTAATTTAGAGGAATGTTTTGTTTATTAACCCACTTAACACTGACCTATACCTCATTCAAGCTTGAAAGAAGCATGTAGCTGAAGTGATGAACCCATGTTGTCTACACATAACAGAAAACTGAGCAAAGAACCAATTTTAAACTGTATCTTTAGGCACTTTGTTACCATCGCAGAAACACATAATTTCTTGATATTTCTTTAGTGTAAGCTATGAAAAATACCAAAGATAACACAGTTTAACTGGTGTAAAATAGTACTTGTGCATCGACAAGGTGCATATCTTCTTGTGGTTTTCTGTATGTCCCTTAATTTGAGGAAAGTGGAAAAGTGGAGGGTAAAGGAGACATAGCAGGTCTACACAAAAAGAGATCTCTGACCTTTCAGTTGATTCATCTACTATTTACCGAATCTTCATCAGAAATGGTCTCAGTGTAAGGATGGCTGTCAAGAAGTCGTGCTTAATAAAGGGAAAGTGGGAGGAAGGGCAGAGGCATGCCAAATTACACCAGAACTGGACTGAAATTCAGTGTTGACAGGTCTGATGAATCCAAACTTGAAATTAATGGACACAACCATTTGTAATACACAGTGGATGCTCTGTCATGGTTTGGTGGTGGTGTTGGGATTTTGTCATCATTGTTGGAATTATGAATGCAAAGAAACAAGGTCAGATTTTGACTCACCATACAATACAATCTGGAAAGCGTCTGATTGGCAACAATTTTATTTTTCAGCATGTCAATGGTCCCAAACACACAGCCAATGCAGTAAGACGATACAAGGAAAGAAAAATCACAAAGTGGAACACCATCACTCATGGACTGGCCTCCATGATTCATGGCACCCGGACCTCAGCATTATTGAAGCAGTGTGTGATCATTCCGACAGAGAACAGAGCTAAAGGCAGCCAACATCCAAAGAAGAGCGTTGAATGTCCTTCGAGACATCTCGAAAAATATTCCTGAAGACTCCTTAAAGAAATTACAAGAAAGCTGCATAAGTGTGTCAAACTGTATGCGTAAGAATAAAGGTAATATAAAGTCATTTTTCTCTTATATGCCTGCCGTATGTATTTTTTTTAATATATATATAATTAAAACTAGTTATTCTTTTATAAGGTTACAAGTTAAGATGAATAAAAACTACGGGCAGAATGCAATAAAATTAAAAATACAAAACTACCGAAACAGTAAGACACAGTATGCACAAAGGCTTGGACCTCTTGTTTCAGATTATCTGTGAAGGCATTCTAATGATGACTGCATCTTGGGAATTGTAGTCCAATTTTAACACTTTGCTTACAACTAGAGATGGAAACACAAGAGGGAGCCAGGCTCTTTTTCTGTAGTTATGACTTTAAAACCTGCAAGACTCCCAACATTTTTACTAACTCTTGTCATACTTTTTTTTAAGAATTCAGTGGGTTTTCTTTTTAGCTTTTGCCACACTGAAATGTCTGTCTTTTACAAAATAACATCTCCTTCAAAATCCTTTTTTGCACATCTTTTTTAAAAAACTTTTTTTTTTTTGCTTTGAGTACCTAAAACGATTAGAATTATACCGAAAATCTTCTATTCTGTATTGTGACTGAAAACTTTTCTCTGAGTGCTGCAATAAAAACAACAACAAAAGAAAGCAAAACAAAGATTCCCAGTATTTCACGCCTGGGATACGTGGTGCGCCTGTTGATGCAGTTTTCCTCATCGGTGAAACAAACAACCAATCAGAGACGAGAACTCTCACACCCCCGACTTGTGATTGGCTAAAAGTCTTAACAGGGTCTTCGTCTTCTCCTCGACTTCATTCATGTTTACATTGTAGGTTATAGGGCTCCTCGGTCCTCCCAGCCAAGACCAAGAGCACGACACGCCAGCAACATTAACAATACGGAAGGCTGCTCGCTTAGTGTTACTCACCGATAACAAGAGGATACCACATCCATCGGTAAATTCACATTTTGTTTCCTTTTTAAAGCTTTTTAAAGCTGACCGAGCTGGGGAGAGGTCGGCGTTCTGTTGCCATAGAAACAACAGGTCTCGCGTCAAGCTGTGCGGTCCGTTTTCTTTGCTAGACGTTAGCTTGATTTTAAAAGCACAGATAAACTTCTTTTATGTTTTTTTTTTACTGCACTGGGAGAAACCCTCGCAACCTATCACTGAAATTTAAATTTAGAAACGTTTTTGCTTAAAAATGGCTTGAGGTTGGTTCCGAAAAGAGAAGCTCTGTAAGCCTGTGCCTCCTTTCTGCGTGAGCTTATCTTCACATTTCAAATTAGCACCTCAACACCGTGGGTAGGTTAAAGTAGAGAATAAACTTGATAACATACAATACTGTACCTTAAAGAAAATCTCTTTGAAGTCTACCAATGCATTTTCTTTTGAATACTTTTTACTTTTGAAAAAAAAAAAGTAATTTGCGCCCTTTGTTTCATGCTAACCTTAAAAAAAAAACTTTCTAAACGTTACTATGCCCGACCGACGCTTCTTCGCTACAAGTATAATCTAGGTGACATTTACCAGTGGCAGTGCAGCATTTAAATGGTAATTGAAGGAATCAAAATCGTTACATTTGGTGTAATGAAGCAAAACAAAAATATCTGTATCTGGAAAGAGAAACAAAAAGAAGCTAAAGAAGATGCAAAATTAACACAAACGACTAAAATCAAATTATAACTAAAAAAGAAAGCACAACAAGATTAGACAGCCTAAAAGGAAGGGCAAAATGAACATAAATAGCTGCAAAGAGAACAGGAAGTGACTAAAAGTTACAATAAAGAGTTTGGAGTGTACTCGGTCAAAATATATATAGTCTTTATCAAAGCCACATTACAAAAGTGCTTTACAAGAGCAGCATACTAAAGCAAGCATTGTGGGGAAACAGCATATGAAGATTAATCAGCTGTAGGAAAAATGTACAGAAATTGTTTAGGGAATAAAAGATGTAACTTAGAAAGAAGTGACTGGCTTTTTTTATTTGATTTTTAGATTGTTCCAGAGACTCTTACTCTCATTTAATACATAGGTCAAATCCAGCCCAGTGGATGGGCATTGTTTTTTTCTGAATGTTGTGTGGGTTATTGCTAGTTTTGCAGGCCCTTTTACTGACCAACTGAAGTAATATGCTTCTGATAAGGAATCACCCTAAAGCTTTTCATTGTGATAACAGCAGGCTGACTGAATATGGAAAAACTCTTTATCCTTGTTGTATTGTAAATGTATGGACCAGAATTTATGTATATGTATTTCTTTGGTTTTATTGATCCACTAAAATTGGTTCCATGTGGCAAACAAACAAACAAGCAGTTCGACACCCCTGCATTAAACTATAATTTCCCATGAGGCTCACACACACACATATCAGTTAAATACCTGGAACAGTGTGTGCAGTCACGACTCACACGCTTCAGTTGCTTGAAGCTTAGCAGTAGATCTTTAAAGCATCATAACAAAGGCAGGACATAGATAAGTGAGTGTGGCAGGGAGTAAGATGTCAGCTGATTATTAATTAATGTTGAGTGACTGATTAATCAAGGCGTCTGATCAGTTCCAGCTTGTAGCCTCACCAGATTTTGTGCTACTCTTTCACCTCATCATTATTGTCCAGGCCCGTTATGTCTAATTAAGACATGTTCAGAAGCAAGGTACAGTGTTGCGTTTCTACTTTTTATTCTTCTTTGCCAAATGTTTGGCCTACATCTTCTCTTCTGTCTTCATGCTCCGGCTGAAGGTGCTTCGTTTCAGCTTGGCCGGGAAGATCGATGTCCAGCCTGTTCACTTACACCACACACTGCTGCAGCTCTTTTCAGCACAGATTTAAATTTAACAAGTCGAGGCGTTGAAAAGCACTTCTCCTATTTCACCGAACAAATGTCAGGGATTATACCTCTCCACTTGCTCCCCACTAAGATCTCTCAATCTTTTCAGGAGGGATTGGGTTTTTTATTTTTTGTCCCCACTGTTTCTAATTAGTCACCAGATCCACTGCTTGAGTCAAACTAAGTAAGTCAATCTGAGCTGATGATACAAATCCGCTTTTTTAAGGCTCCAGAGGTACAGAGATGTGGCTCACCTGTTTGCTTGTTGAGGAGTGTGGCAGTGTCTTAAGAAGCTGAGATCCCTGATTCAAAGAGGTGTGGACAAAGGGGGAGCAACACCCTCTAATATCGATGACTTCACCAGTGCAGGTAAGTAAGAACTTTATCAAAAGATGATTAGACACTATTGAGCTGTCAGTCTATCAGATACACTGGCATAGAACTGAAAACAGTCAAATGCAACAGGTTTTGAGTGCTAAAAGCCCATTTATTAGTTGTCATTCAACAGAACCACAAACTTCACCTTAGAAATGACAAAAACTCAGCAGATTGTGCCAAGATATGTCCAATCATAATCAGGAAAGGCAAACTGGGGTGGTAGATTGCCACTCTCAAGGCTTCAGGTTTATGTCAGGGTGACGGACAGAATCATATGTCCCTTGGACAATCCTTGGATTCACGATTGTAGTTTTGTCCCAGCCCTATCTCCTCTCAGGGCTGTCTGAGGGCACATTAGCGTTTGCCCAACCCATCTATGTGAGTTTTGTAGGAAAAGACATTCGACCACATGCCTCTTTGTGGGTTTTAGTTTTTGT